CTTAGCTTTTTCATCATTTCCTCATTTGCATCCCTTCAAATTTGAAACTCCTCTCCCTCTCTCTCCCTAAAACTCAAGAGTCACCTTCATCCTCCTTCATATTCAGCCGAATTCTTCCTCTTTTCTTCATCAAAATAGCAAGGGATTTGAAGATACTACATCTCTCACATCACCAATCAAGGTAACATCTTCATCTCCCTATTTTTTCTTGCAAATTTTGGGAGAAAAACTCATTTTTTATGCATTTCTATCTACTATCTTCTAACCTCCAAAAATTCTGAGTTTTAAGGAGAGATTACACACCAAAAACATGTAAAAATGTTCATATGATGGTGGTAATCTGTGACCCAAACATTAGAACTCAAGAAGATAGGTAGAATCATGATTTTATGTGAGTTTGATTCTTGAAAATAGCATTTTTAAGTGCTGACAGATTAGGTGCATCAGCATAAATAGTCTATATCTTGAAAATAATATGTTCAAAGGTTATGAATCTTCTTCTAAAAGGGTTGGGGTTGTAACACAATTGGTCTCACTCAAAAACATTGAGTTTTGACTCCCCAAATACTCAAAACATTATATATGTGCATCTGAGAGTTTTTCAGTAGGTAAACCCTATTTTAAACAGCCATAACTCTCTAGATAATCATTCAAAATCATTTATTTTTCTTCTGGAAGTTAACTTAATGAGTTACCTTTCAAATGCCACTGATTTCATTAAAAAAATGTGGTGATTTGAGGTTTTAACTACTCAAAACAAAGTGAGCATGCAATCTGTCCGAATCTGACAGATTTGTATATGTATGTTCCAATGACCATATCTCTTTCAAAACTCGATGAAAAAGGATTATTCTTCCTTTGAGAGTTAACTATATGAGTTATCTTCTGCATGCAAGTGGAATCACATGAAAATATGGAGTTTTGTTCTCCAAAAACTTAAAACAATTTAGGTGTGCAAACTGTGAAACCACCAGTAGGTAACTCCTACTTTGTATGCTAATATCTCTTTATTTACTTGCTTTTAGTGTATGATTCTTCCTCTGAATTGTTATTTTATGAGTTAGGGTTCTTATGAATCCAGTTTCACTCAAAAATACGAAGTTTTGAGGCATTAACCAATTTAATTAAGTTAAGTGTGCAATCTGTCAACTCTTGACAGATGTGTGCATGTAATTTTATGGTGCCATATCTTCCTCTCAACTCATCCAAAATGAGTGATTCTTAGTTTAAAAGTTTTATTTAAGTGTTAAGTTTATAATCCAACTTGAATTTCTGCAGAACACTTAGTAGAACTCTTTAAATGAGTATTTTACTAATGTGGTGTAATCTGCCATATTAGTTGTGATATATTGTATTGCATAAATTATTTAAATCATTATTGCATGTCCAAAATGCATGAAATTTGGTCACAATGACCATAACTCAGTGCTATATCTCATATAAAAAGATAGGAAATTATCTCATTTTAGAAATCTCTTTAAAATGATCATTTTATGTATCATTAGTTTCTGCCCAAAAACGAGATTTTTGGATTATTTGATTTTGTAAATTTTGATCTTTTTATTGGACTATAGCATTACTTTCGGTATAAATTAATATATTAACGAGCATATGGACATTATGTATATTTGGACTATAGATAATTAAGTTGGACATAAGTAGACACTTATGGACTTAGGACTTATTAATCCCCATAAGTAGTTTTAAACCCATAAGTGA